CCAGATATCAACAAGTTTGAACTAAGATTAAAGAATCACATGAATATTTCTTGAATAGACATTCTATACTTTTTTAATGATATTTCTGTGATTTTTATATATTTTTATAAACTTGCAATTATATAAATGTACTTTTTTTATTTTTTATTGTTATAATTATTTTTATAGATTCTTTTCTTTTTTTTCTTTTTATGAGATCCTTAATATAGGGTTAACCTCTGGGTTTTCTTTTTCTTAATAACAGTGCTTGTTATTTTGAAATAAAGTACTTTATGTATGTATGTATAGCTGGCGCTTTTTTGGTGTGTCTTTCTGTGACTGTTCGAGAGACACCCAAGAGCAAGATGAACCAGAAAACATGCAAGGTCGATCTGCCTTCTTCCCTCCCTCCTCCCCCATCATTTTCTCATTTTGACCTTGGTTCAGCTTTTGTGGGGCTGAATCTCTTACTTTATGAACTGCAAATAACACACCACACTGCACACAATTCAAAAAGACACCAGCCAGTACACAGGCTCTTACCTTGGCTTTAATTAAGGTATAGCCAGTTTGGCATTGAGTGTCAATTTGATAGAAAGCTCCACAAATTAATGTTGATTTTTTTGCGACAGACCCTGTGTATTAAGATTGATGACTTCATGGCTAAATTAAATCTCCGCCAATTAGCATTTTGTAGCTTAGCTTTTTTGATACAGAAATTCAAATTCCTAAGATATTGATTGATTTCTTAAGTGCAGGAGAAAAATAAAAATGATTTCAACCATTAACACAGTATATAAAAAAAATTATATATCTTGTTAAAGTAATATATTGTGAAAAATAATTATTATATTAGTTATGAATAATTTCATATAATCATTAACAATAATTTTATAATTATTCTTTACAGCTGATCCCTTGGGAACGCAGTTTTGTCCGCCCTTTTGTGACACTGTCATAAGAGAGCACTACTGGTTCTGGAAACCGAACACAACAAGTAGAGTGAAGAGTGTTAGCACGCTTGTTAGTGAGTATTTGACGAGTGTCGGAAGGGGCTGTCACATGGTACTCAACTTGAACCCAGATCCTTATGGCTTGGTTGAAGAGGAGGATATGCAAGCATACAAGGAGTTTGGTGAAGCTGTCAGTTTGCTGTACAAAAATCTTGTCTTCACAGACAAAAATCCAGAACTGAAAGTTGGAGTTGAGATAGTGTGGAGTTTGCCAGAGCTTTACTGGATGGGTAAGGGAGCCGTAGTAATCATGGAAAACATAGCGGAATTCGGACAGCTCGTTGAAGAATACCAGCTGCGATTTAAGACCCTAAATGGCTGGCTTGAGTACCCTGAGCAAGGAAGTAGTGTTGGTCAGAAACGGATTCATGCTTTCCCTGCAGTATTCACCGGGGAGGTCATTTCTGCCATAAGCTTAAACGTCACCAAATTGGTGACAAATGGCACCTCCATTACATTACGTGAAGTTTCTGTTTATGACTGGAATGAGGCAGGATTGAAAGGCTATGTGTGAATTAGTAATTGGTAATAAACTTTTGATAATAAGTAGTTAGTTTTATTGTCGCTAGCACAACCCATGTACAGTACATTGTAATTTGCTAAGCCCTCAGAGGGTGCTTCAGGTACTACTTATTAAACAAGATTGAGGTCATCACAGGGTAATTTCAGACTGAGGCCTTGATGTATTTAGTGAGCTCAATACATCAAGGTCAAGGTCTAAGATTTCCCTGTTATGACCAAACAGAGAAGGTTCATTGTAGACCTGAGTCTGCAATCAATTTAAACTAACAACTGGTCAGCAGACAACTTTAAAAAAAAAATCTTCTCAGTGAGTTGTACAGTTGGGCCTGTTGACCCTCGTCACCTTTTGAGAGCTGTCAATTGACCGTAACATTGATGTCCATAAGGGTTAAACACAGATTGAATATGCCTTGGATGCCTGGGCTAGTAATGCCCGGTCATCACAAGAAAATAATGCCTGGTCAGTACAAGAAAAGAGCCAATCAGAGTGCATGTACTATTGTAGCCATATAATTAAATGATATAATGCACATGAACAGTTAGACAGTAAAACTTACTGACTGTAAAAGTGTGCACAATGCTTGCATCCTATACCCATTTTCTTATTTCCTTGTTCCTGGATATTTACCTCAAACTCCAAATAACTCGAACATTTTTCTATTTCCCAAGAAGGTTCCAGTTGTCAGGAGTCAACTTTATATCTTTAATACAACAGTTTGGTTTGTTCAGAAGTGGTTAATATTAATTTTTTGCTTTCACAAATTTGAAGACTTCCTTTGAGTAGCAAGCTTTTTTTCATGGTAGTGGAACGTTTTTTTTTTCTTAAAATGGAAGAGGAAGGTCCACTAATTAAAAGGTTTAAAGATCACACCTTAAAACTTCATGCCTCTAAAGCCTCCCCCCTCTAAAAAGAAGGAAATTTTTCAAGTGGCCGAAATTGACACAACAGAATCCCTTTGTACTAACTATCCTGTACTCAAGTATACGCAATGCAAACAATTAATTAAAATGAATTTTTTATTTACTTTGACACACTCTTTTTAAAGTATTTTTTAGTTGTATTTCTTTGTATTTCCTATTATATTATTATTAGTTTCTAGATGCAACATTTTACACTTTGCAAGTTATTTGTAGAAGGACGTCTAAGAAACTCATTATTTTGTTTCAATTGTTAGATAATGTAAAAATGACATTAAATCACTGATTTTACTGTTATAGTTTTGTGTTTAGTCTGGAGAAATTAACATCCTCTTATTGACCAACACCATACATGGGATCGTATAGTTTCTCTATTTGTTTGATTCAAAGGCCGAAAATGTATGAGAGATTAGGCATTCCTAGCCATGACCAAAACATGCATGTGAGACATTTCTCAGAGGAAGTGATATTCCGAGCACTTGCTATGATACTAGGGACGTTTGGAAAAGGCATTTTTAAGCAATGCCACCAACTGGAAGTGACGTATTTTCTCTTTTCATACGTCGTAATACTACGGAATACTACGGATTCTCCTGAACATTTAGGCAAAACACTGCCCAAGAATAGAAAAATTTCTACTTTCAGTTGATATGTGTTGCTCAAAAAATACTTTATGTTAGCCTGTATAACAAGTGCTAGGAAATAATGAGCAACAACGAACGGATCATAATACGTTTCTGGGAAACTGCCCACCTACCCCTCCCCTAAGCCAACATTTTCCTTTAAGTGAGAAGTAAGGGAAAGTTCATTTAATATGACAAGGGGGGGGGATGAAGATATTGAGGGGGGGCTCCGAAAATGTTTAGACACCCGAAGGGGGGGCTCTAAAAAAATTGTTGCGCTAGGAGGGGGGGCTCCGAAAATTTGTATACTTCAAAACCAACACATGACATCATCATACAGATCGGATGGTTTTCAACTCAACAATTTAATGACCTGTGCAACTCAGCTATATCACGTGGTTTACAGATATAACAAATGTAGTCTCAGTAATTATTACACTCTTGTTCATCCCAAAAATGCTTTAGAAAATTGTATCACAACTGTATCTCAAGTTTGTCATAGTATAAACCATTGAAGACAATAACGGTAAATATATTTAATACAGTCTAGCGATCTTTTTTCAGGGGAGCAAAGGAATTGAAGGAGGAGGGGGGGGGGGGCTCTGAAATTTTTTCGACTACCAAGGAGGGGGCTCCTAAAAAATTGAACCGCTAGCGAGGGGGGCTGCTAAAATTTCAAACTTCGAGTTTCAATATCTTCATCCCCCCCCCTCCCCCTTGTCATATTAAATGAACTTTCCCTAAGTGCTGATGTTGGTTAAGGGGAGGGGTAGGTGGGCAGTTTTCCAGAACGTTATTATGAACCGAAGAACAGGGGATGTGACGGAACATACTAAATGTTTACAAACGATCTCGTGTGCAGACGTATCCCCTCGGGAGCCTCCCAACCAATAGGAATTTTCCACACTCTCAGAAAGGGAGTAAAAACCATCTTCATGGGCCTCTTAGGCAGGCGATCCCTTTTCCTTGTGTGTGTCTGCCTCGCACAACCTGTTTTCTCTTGGCCCCATTATGTCTAAGCACCTGCTATGCGGGCTACTCCATGTTAGTCACTAACCTTTTAATTAATTTTGTAAGCTGTTTGACTGAAGAGGCCTCACCTACCCCAGAAGACTCAAACTTAGCCTGCTAGCAAGCTCTCCATTTATGTGGAATGCAAAAAGAGGTCTGAGAGAAAGCGTGAGCAAGCAGTGAAGCACTTGCATCTCCTTGTGTGACGTTTGTGACTCCCCCAAATAGAGAGCTTGCTCACAGGCTAACTCAAACTCACACCCACATCACTGTCACAAACAAAGTTTTGCTACTACACACACCAAACTGTGGTCCTATACAGTGTAATACTTGGTTCTTACATTGTGTTCAAATAATCAAGACAATCACCTATTACACCTTCCATGTGATGTGGGATGAGCTGGACAATTTGGAGTGATCAAAATCAATGGATAGAACTGACTGGCCTAAAGAGGACGGTTTCTATAAACTTATAATTACCCAAATGGTCTTGATCATCCCACCAATTGAGAAGATCCAGAACTGGATGAAGGCTTTACAGTGTCTGCTATGATTATGGGGAAAAACTATACTTAAATTTACGGAGTAAACTAGTTTATTTTGTAGTAAGGCCATCGCCACAATTTTTTCCTCTTTTCTATATTAATTTATTAATTTGGGGATTTTTCTTAAACAAAGAAGCAAGGCTGAAAGAACTAAAGGAGAGTAGATAAGAACTACAAACCACAGACCTTTTGTTTATGGTAATCCCAAAAGTGCATGCCTACTATTTTGTGTGACTGACATACATTTTAAATTTAAAGCAGGTTCTATACATGTATCTACAGAAGCCCAAACATTTCTGTGCGAGTCAATCAAGAGAGTTGGAACGAGAGCAAAAAAGAGGCATGCAATAAGTTGAATAGAAACGTTTGTTACACAGACGAAGTCTTACAGCATAAATTATCCATATCAGCTCTGTGTAAATGTGACACATCTGTAAGAATACTGTCCAACATCAACAGCAATTTACACTCTTTAGAGCAACCACTAGTTTGCTTTCCTCTGGTATTGTTTTGTTTTCTTGAAAGGTTAAATCTGGGATGCCCAGAAGAAAAGAGACCCAAGATAAACAAGGGAATGGCCTAACCTACGCTAAAAACTACCAAACAGCGCCGGGCAGTTGAAGGGTACTTTACAAAGGAATGTTGCCATGTTTCTTCCAAGGATTGGTAAGTTGCTTGGTGGCTAGCACTTCAAGATCCCTGCAGATTCGTTTACGGGTCATGTGAGGCTTGATAATGTCATCCACAAATCCTGCATACAAGAGAAGGGTAATATAACATAATTTTTTGTTTCCATTTACTGGTAGACTCTACTGGTCAATGGCAAATAATGCTAATATTGACTTAGTGGGGATTGAAAGTTTCATAGACCGTTCCAGGCTCCAAGAAGTTGCGGAAAGCAGATCAAGAAGAATTGTGAGAAAACTGCATGGGAGGTGGAAAGAGATGGAGTGGTGGAACCTGTAAGCATTGTTTTCAATACCATATTTCAGTATACCAGCTCGTCGTATACCCTATGATCGGTCAACTATGACAGATTTTTTCAACACTTATGTCAATCATTTGGCTTTACATGTGCAGTCTAACAAATCTGTTGAGCAAAAAACCCTACACCACACCTTTAGACTCTTTGACATTTGTCATTTGGGTGGTGTAGTGGGCAGATTAAGCTATTTGAAAAGATGCTTACAGGTTCTCCTTTTCTCTCTTCCTGCTGTTTTATCTTGTTTGTTAATTCACTGCTTGCTCACTTTTTCCGCTCTTCCACACTGCCCAAGAGCCTGGCTCAGGCTGAAGCTTTCAGTGATGACTATTTATAGAAACCTCAATTGGGGACTGAGTGGGGAGGGGAGAAAGAGCTGAGCGTAAGGACTTGGGGAAGTGCAAGAACACCTCCTGCGTTTCGCCTCTCCCCTCTCATTCCCAGCTCCCACCCCTTTTTCGATTGCAAAATTTTAAGCATTGCTGCATATTTTCCTCCTATTATTTTCCTACCCTTTCCACCCTATTAGAACCCCTAGCCACCCTTTCCTCTCCCACCTTCCGTACCTGTCCTGCCCCCATGTCCTGGGCCTGGGCCTCTGACACCATGTCCTCCCCCACATAAAAGTTGGCATGGGAAACAGAAAGATGTAACAAATGAAAATGTTATGAAAATTTACCTCTTGTGGCAGCTGGGAATGGATTGGCAAACCTGTCCATGTATTCTGCATTAACGGCTTGTTAACAGAAGAATCTTAGGGTGTACTTAAATACAGATGGGGACCCAGAACAAGAATTTTGGCGCTGTTTCGCAGATGGACTTAGCCAGAGTTTTGTTTCATCTGTATTGCAGTCTAGTAGATAAGTTATTACTAACAAATCTCTTTACCAGCAGCCAAAGAAAAAACATTAGCCAAAAATTAGCTACAGCTTGCTTGCACGATGTCTGAGAATTCCACCTCCATTGCCCATTATGGCTCCCCAGATGTTAACCAATCAATGCAAGACAATTCTACACAACCTTCAGTGGCAACAAACCCATCAGCTGGGTACATGGCAAAATCCAACTGCTAGGCCATGCTCCTTCTTCTTTAACAAAACAAAACTGAGTATCTTTTTCAGTTTTACCCCCAGATTGTTTAATTTAAGCCGTTTGACTAATTTCAACTCTCGACTCCAATTCTACACAACCTTCAGTGGCAACAAACCCATCAGCTGGGTACCTGGCAAAATCCAACTGCCAGGCCATGCTCCTTCTTCTTTAACAAAACAAAACTGAGTATCTTTTTCAGTTTTACCCCCAGATTGTTTAATTTAAACCGTTTGACCAATTTCAACTCTCGACTCCATCTGAGACATCTGCAGAGACAGGTGGCAGAAATTTATAAAAATAATAATACTTTGCAATGGATAAATAACTACGTGTAAATATCATCTGAGGCAAATGGTTGAAATCATAAAACTTTTAAATATACTGTAGATAAAACAACAATGGTATTGCTACCTTGAATTTATCCTGCATAATTCCTCGAGTCCCATAGGAAGGAATTTCTATCCCTGGTGGAGTGCTATAAAAGCATATTCAATCTGAATGATCTAAACTTCAGTGATTATTTTGAACTGCTGTGCAGGAGCACTAAGACGAGATCCAACCATGAATATAAGATACAAACCAAACTCGCGAAAATTAAGATAATCAAGTTTTGGAACGATTTTCCAAGTAACGTTATCAATTGCCATGATAGTCCAGATATCAACAAGTTTGAACTAAGATTAAAGAATCACATGAATATTTCTTGAATAGACATTCTATACTTTTTTAATGATATTTCTGTGATTTTTATATATTTTTATAAACTTGCAATTATATAAATGTACTTTTTTTATTTTTTATTGTTATAATTATTTTTATAGATTCTTTTCTTTTTTTTCTTTTTATGAGATCCTTAATATAGGGTTAACCTCTGGGTTTTCTTTTTCTTAATAACAGTGCTTGTTATTTTGAAATAAAGTACTTTATGTATGTATGTATAGCTGGCGCTTTTTTGGTGTGTCTTTCTGTGACTGTTCGAGAGACACCCAAGAGCAAGATGAACCAGAAAACATGCAAGGTCGATCTGCCTTCTTCCCTCCCTCCTCCCCCATCATTTTCTCATTTTGACCTTGGTTCAGCTTTTGTGGGGCTGAATCTCTTACTTTATGAACTGCAAATAACACACCACACTGCACACAATTCAAAAAGACACCAGCCAGTACACAGGCTCTTACCTTGGCTTTAATTAAGGTATAGCCAGTTTGGCATTGAGTGTCAATTTGATAGAAAGCTCCACAAATTAATGTTGATTTTTTTGCGACAGACCCTGTGTATTAAGATTGATGACTTCATGGCTAAATTAAATCTCCGCCAATTAGCATTTTGTAGCTTAGCTTTTTTGATACAGAAATTCAAATTCCTAAGATATTGATTGATTTCTTAAGTGCAGGAGAAAAATAAAAATGATTTCAACCATTAACACAGTATATAAAAAAAATTATATATCTTGTTAAAGTAATATATTGTGAAAAATAATTATTATATTAGTTATGAATAATTTCATATAATCATTAACAATAATTTTATAATTATTCTTTACAGCTGATCCCTTGGGAACGCAGTTTTGTCCGCCCTTTTGTGACACTGTCATAAGAGAGCACTACTGGTTCTGGAAACCGAACACAACAAGTAGAGTGAAGAGTGTTAGCACGCTTGTTAGTGAGTATTTGACGAGTGTCGGAAGGGGCTGTCACATGGTACTCAACTTGAACCCAGATCCTTATGGCTTGGTTGAAGAGGAGGATATGCAAGCATACAAGGAGTTTGGTGAAGCTGTCAGTTTGCTGTACAAAAATCTTGTCTTCACAGACAAAAATCCAGAACTGAAAGTTGGAGTTGAGATAGTGTGGAGTTTGCCAGAGCTTTACTGGATGGGTAAGGGAGCCGTAGTAATCATGGAAAACATAGCGGAATTCGGACAGCTCGTTGAAGAATACCAGCTGCGATTTAAGACCCTAAATGGCTGGCTTGAGTACCCTGAGCAAGGAAGTAGTGTTGGTCAGAAACGGATTCATGCTTTCCCTGCAGTATTCACCGGGGAGGTCATTTCTGCCATAAGCTTAAACGTCACCAAATTGGTGACAAATGGCACCTCCATTACATTACGTGAAGTTTCTGTTTATGACTGGAATGAGGCAGGATTGAAAGGCTATGTGTGAATTAGTAATTGGTAATAAACTTTTGATAATAAGTAGTTAGTTTTATTGTCGCTAGCACAACCCATGTACAGTACATTGTAATTTGCTAAGCCCTCAGAGGGTGCTTCAGGTACTACTTATTAAACAAGATTGAGGTCATCACAGGGTAATTTCAGACTGAGGCCTTGATGTATTTAGTGAGCTCAATACATCAAGGTCAAGGTCTAAGATTTCCCTGTTATGACCAAACAGAGAAGGTTCATTGTAGACCTGAGTCTGCAATCAATTTAAACTAACAACTGGTCAGCAGACAACTTTAAAAAAAAAATCTTCTCAGTGAGTTGTACAGTTGGGCCTGTTGACCCTCGTCACCTTTTGAGAGCTGTCAATTGACCGTAACATTGATGTCCATAAGGGTTAAACACAGATTGAATATGCCTTGGATGCCTGGGCTAGTAATGCCCGGTCATCACAAGAAAATAATGCCTGGTCAGTACAAGAAAAGAGCCAATCAGAGTGCATGTACTATTGTAGCCATATAATTAAATGATATAATGCACATGAACAGTTAGACAGTAAAACTTACTGACTGTAAAAGTGTGCACAATGCTTGCATCCTATACCCATTTTCTTATTTCCTTGTTCCTGGATATTTACCTCAAACTCCAAATAACTCGAACATTTTTCTATTTCCCAAGAAGGTTCCAGTTGTCAGGAGTCAACTTTATATCTTTAATACAACAGTTTGGTTTGTTCAGAAGTGGTTAATATTAATTTTTTGCTTTCACAAATTTGAAGACTTCCTTTGAGTAGCAAGCTTTTTTTCATGGTAGTGGAACGTTTTTTTTTTCTTAAAATGGAAGAGGAAGGTCCACTAATTAAAAGGTTTAAAGATCACACCTTAAAACTTCATGCCTCTAAAGCCTCCCCCCTCTAAAAAGAAGGAAATTTTTCAAGTGGCCGAAATTGACACAACAGAATCCCTTTGTACTAACTATCCTGTACTCAAGTATACGCAATGCAAACAATTAATTAAAATGAATTTTTTATTTACTTTGACACACTCTTTTTAAAGTATTTTTTAGTTGTATTTCTTTGTATTTCCTATTATATTATTATTAGTTTCTAGATGCAACATTTTACACTTTGCAAGTTATTTGTAGAAGGACGTCTAAGAAACTCATTATTTTGTTTCAATTGTTAGATAATGTAAAAATGACATTAAATCACTGATTTTACTGTTATAGTTTTGTGTTTAGTCTGGAGAAATTAACATCCTCTTATTGACCAACACCATACATGGGATCGTATAGTTTCTCTATTTGTTTGATTCAAAGGCCGAAAATGTATGAGAGATTAGGCATTCCTAGCCATGACCAAAACATGCATGTGAGACATTTCTCAGAGGAAGTGATATTCCGAGCACTTGCTATGATACTAGGGACGTTTGGAAAAGGCATTTTTAAGCAATGCCACCAACTGGAAGTGACGTATTTTCTCTTTTCATACGTCGTAATACTACGGAATACTACGGATTCTCCTGAACATTTAGGCAAAACACTGCCCAAGAATAGAAAAATTTCTACTTTCAGTTGATATGTGTTGCTCAAAAAATACTTTATGTTAGCCTGTATAACAAGTGCTAGGAAATAATGAGCAACAACGAACGGATCATAATACGTTTCTGGGAAACTGCCCACCTACCCCTCCCCTAAGCCAACATTTTCCTTTAAGTGAGAAGTAAGGGAAAGTTCATTTAATATGACAAGGGGGGGGGATGAAGATATTGAGGGGGGGCTCCGAAAATGTTTAGACACCCGAAGGGGGGG